ATACACTGTAAAATATCTGCAGTGGTGATATACTACCGGTTTGCACCGGTTCAGCCGAACTGGTAGTAAAAAAAAAGCTGACAATCAGCTGAGACGAGGAAAAAAATCCCCTCACAATCAGCTGAGAGGAAAAAGAAGAGAAAAGCACATGATCGGCCCTGCCGCTTTTCTCTTCTTTATCCTCTCAGTTGATTGGCACTGCAGGTCTCTGCTGGTGTGGGGAAAGCTGCATGTGTGCATTAGGCAAAGCAAGCCCACCAAGCCACGCCCACAAAACTGGTAGTAAAACAATTTGAATCCCACCACTGAATATCTGGTCCAATAGGCGCCCTTGAGAATAAATTTCAAGAAAACAGAAGTACAGGAGAACAGTTGCGCAGGGGACTTCAGCCGACGGATTTTTTCTTCAGGCAAGGTTTCATATTTCCACATTTTTTTTTTCTCAGAGAAAAACCAATCAAATAAATCGCCACATGAAAAGCAGGTTTTTACAGCTGTTGGGCCCTTTTGAAGGTGTCCCTCTTTCCATATTGGCAAATTCTCTTAGCTTTGAAAATGAGAGGTAGCCTATGAACAGCTTCCAAAGGCATCGTTCAGATCCTAATGCCAGGAGACTCCGATGTGACAAGTCTCTCATAAAACCGCTTTAATAATGATAATGCATCTCTAATAAAAAAAGAGAGAGAAATTTTGTATTCCTTTGGTTATTTCTGGTGACAAACAGCATAGAGACAAGTAAGAAGGAAAAGTTTGAAGCTCAGAGGCTTAAAAGGGAATTCAAATGTAGTCACTCCTGGCTAAATTTGCCACGTTTCATGTTCTTTGTTAAACTTTCAAGGAACAGGGTTACATTTTGCTTTCCATGTTCTGAATGGCGTTATTGGTTGTTGTCACATTATCCGATATGAAACGCGCAAAGTGAAAAGCCCTCTTGATGCCTCCTGACGGCTTTTCAGAAGGTGATCCTGTCAAAGCATTTGAGAGAATGAATTACTTTTAATTCGACTACATAAAGACACTGCTGATTTTTATAGCTGTTGTGGTTGTTTTGATGGCTTTGTTTCACTTTCCGGGCTCCCAAATGATCCGTTCTGATGTGGTGAAGGAGCTCCACAAAGAAAGGATGAAACCTCCTTCAAGTGCGGCTGGGATCTTGAAGTGTGCTTCCATTTTCAAACAGGCTTCTCACAAGTATACTCAGTCTTCAGGATTGAGAATCAAGGGCCAATTATTGCTGAAAGCTGATAATGGCTAATGGTTTGCCTTTATTTGAACATTTGGATGATTGATGAAAGTATCATTCTTTATAAGGGCTTCTTGTAGGGTTGAAAATGGTGAATCCTGATCAAGATGGTTGAAATGGATATGATAGACTGGCCAGGTGCAATATAGAAAGGGACAGGTGTGAATTATGGGATGTGAAATCTGAGCCCTCCTGGAAGGAATCGGATTGGGAAGTCTATAATCCCAAACATGTTTTTCCTTGAAGACGTTTCACATCCAAGAAGCTTCTTCAGAATGTTTTCCAGTTGCCTCTTCAAGAAGCACCTTTTGGGACAACCATGATGTAGATGACTGAGAATCTCCATAGATGAAGTCTACAATCCAAATTTAAATGTGGCTTGCCTATTCTTTCCTATAAAAAGTTATTCTTTCCTATAAAAAGTTATAATTCTCTTTAGTGTGGATTTTTCACATCCTTGGTTGGTTAGAGCTTTACCAACTAATACATTTCCCTCCATATTTTGGGAAGTTGTTGTGTATTTCATTGTTGTAAACTGCCTAGGGTGGTAAATAAGTCTGTAGTAAATCCATAATCAGTAAATAAAGGATGGTGGTTGTGGAAATATGAAGCTAATATCAGAACTCTAGTTATCTGAAAAAGTAATCTCATAGCATCTTTCTTGTATCAAGCCCAACTTTGCCACCCATTAGCTACAAGGACTTAAAATCTTCTCCTTCTCCTCCTCCCCCTCTCTGAATTTTCTAAACTAAGGAAGAATGGAGGATGCCTAGCAAATAAATGGGATTTTATGAGTATAGCACTGAACAATAACTTCCCATCCCATGTTCCAGATGTTAGGCAGCTGTACAGGCCTGTCACATCCATCAAAGTCACATCAACACAGCTCCCAATAAGCTGGGCAGCTGAATTGAACAAGGCATGTTTTCTAAACTCAATGCATTCAGTCCTCAACGAAATTTTTCTGAAACTGCCTGAACAATTCATCACCCAGAATAAGGAGAAGTCAAGAAATGATCTTTCTTGGACACTGAAAATAAGAATCAGTCTATATTTTTGGCTTTGGCTACCTAAATCTTGTGCTACATGTTAAGATTATATTCTTATTTAAATTGGTGGGTGGCTGTGTGTTTTCAATAGATGCCAACGGCTGTGAAATTTATTACCTGGAGACACCAAGGTGCCAAGCCCATTAAATAAAATAACTATCCATAAGTCTCTGTGAGGCAATGCTGAGCGTTTTTTTTGTGACACAGCATCAGGGTTCAACAGTGAAAGTCAGAAAGACACCTGGAATCCCTGATCAACTTCCCCTTCAAGCTCGTTATCCTTCTCCCCCTGCAAATTAGTATTCTTTTTGTAACACACAGCAAAATAGAAACGACAGGGAGTGCTTTATTTCCTTCTTTGTTGACTGCTAGTCTGCCTACCAAAAATATTAACACAAATGGATGGAGTCTGTCTGTTCAGGCCCACAATGCCAGAACATCCCATTGCCAGAAGCAAAAGATGATTGACAGCCTAAAGTCTATGCTTCAGGTTCTCTTGACATGCCGGGGAATTCTCCAGTACAAGGTAATTTAAGACAGGTAACAACGAGAAGGAAGGAATCAGACTTCTGCCCTCAGGCAGACCCAGTAGGCCGAAAGGGGAGAATAACAATAATAATAATAGTAATAATATATAGAGAGAGATGGAATCATAGTCCTGTCACAGGATTCTTAAATTGCAGCAAGATTCTATCTTTCTCTCATCAAACACTTGAATCTTTTTGGTCCAGGATTGTCCTGCCACCCATTGGTGCTATCTACGAGGACTTTTGTGCTACGGGCTCATATCAACTATTCAGTGACTGCCCAACGGGTCCGTCTCCAAGCCATAAACTTTTCCCAGCAAGATTCAGTCTAACCAACCAAACCAACCATTTTAAACTTGATGGTAAACAATTCAGTTTTTGTAACAGAGTTGTCAAAAATCTGGAATTTATCTGTGTCAGGATTCTGGCACTTAACCTCATTTAAATCATGAGTCTCAAGCCAAACTTCCAAAACTTCAAAAGGGTTCATTGGGAGTTAAAAGGTCCAGCATCGCCTGGGTGTAGCCGACTCTGAGACACATCATTCGTTGTCACCCTTGACCCTGGTTTTCCCCTCACCCCCTGGGTGTATCCAAATTCATATTCTCCAATGGGACACATCCATAGCCAAGAGTCATCAATCATGCTCTCCAGTTAGAATTTTGCAAGGCAGAAACTTCGGTCACCTAGTTACTATCTTTGAAAACACTTATGGAATGCAGTTTTGGTTTGCAAGCTGTCACACTGCTTTCCCCTCCCTTTCTGTTGGCAACTCTAAAAGACCATAGACAATCTGATTCAGTTGTTTCAGCTACAAACTTCCATAGTTTTACTTCCAACTTAACTTCCATAGACCTCACCCCATATTTAAGTCCTACTGGGGCCGTTGGTAAGAGTACTACTGTGCCTATCGTCTCTGTTATATTTTAGGTTTTTATTTCCTTTTGTTCATTCATGTTTGTAATTTTTGTTTGATGAATAAATTTAAAAAAAGAGTCCCTCCCTCCCCATTTTTAATATTCTCATGCCTTCTGAAGTTATAACCAGCATTCAACCAATTGATGGGATAGGTGTCAACTTTCAACATGCAAGAATACATTCATCATTGCCTTGATTTGCTTTCAACCAACAGAAAGGGTGACCCAACAACAAGGATCTCCAGCAGACCAAAAAGTTCCTCACCCAACTTAGATTTTTCTCTCCCTCAATCAAATCCATTCATTGGGTTTCTGCATTACCAATGAGGAGAATGGGATCTAAGCATCTTAAAAGTCAGAGGGGTGGTTTAAAGAAACCTCTTGACGACAACAGCTCAACAGTGAAATCAACCTGAGGAGCAATAAGGTCTCCACCAGAAGGGATCTTCAAGAAAAGACAGGTCAAGCTATCTGTCATTGACGCTCTAGCTCATGATAGCATGATTTTGCGAGACTTGGTGCTCTCCACATGCCTTTTGACCATGATTTTTTTACAAATGAGAATGAATTTTATAACCAAACTCAAGGCAAACATGGAAAACAGATGCAAAATTGAAGAACACATAACAAAGTTAGGGGACTGTGAAAAATGCACCTGCCAGGGTACTTTCCTCTCTTTGGTGGTTACTTCATCAATCAGTTCCCCAACATCCATTGCAAATTATTTTATCTTCCATGGATGAGAACTACACTTGTTTTATTTATTTTTATTCTGCATTTATTATTTTTATAGATACTCAAGGCAGCGGACAAACCTAATGTTCTTTTCTCCTATTTTCCCTACAACAGCAACTCTGTGAGATAATTGCACAATTATTTACTTCCTATTTAGCCACAAAAGACCCAATAGGTATGTCAGCTTAAGAGGTCACCTCTACATTCGCACGATATCCTTAACCTGGTTATTGAATTAACTCTTGCCCAGTATACTAAACCATCACAAAAGCTGATTGAGGTTAATAATAACCAGGTTTCATGAGAATGTGGTTATTCAAGTCTTTTATCTGAACTAGATATATCAGTTCATGCGAAACAAAGTTATCCAGGAACTTATACAGCTTAACACGGATCTGAATCCAGATTCCCCCGATCTTAACCCATATCAGACAATGGTAGACACAAATCAATTTCATCCTTAAAATGTATCATGCTGTAACTAAAGAGAAAGTACTTACGATTTCTGTGGCACAGATTTGGTTGCGACTTTATTGGTAGGCTCATTCCATTCTGAAAATAAATGAAATAAAGTCATATTTATTGACTTAAGTTTTGCAACCACAGGATGTCAACCCACAATCTCTCTCAAAACAAGCCCTAATATGACAAGGCATCACAGGTACTCCTTGATTTACGGCCACAATCGATCCAAAATTTCTACTGCTAAATGAGACAAAGTGTTCAGTGAGTTTTGCCCCTTTCGTAGCACCATTCTTAAGTGAATCACTGCAGGTGTTAAGTTAGAAATCCAGTTGTTAAGTGAATCTGTTTTCCCCATTGACTTTGCTTGTCAAAAGGTCACAAAAGGGAATCACATGATCCTTGCAACCATCATAAATATGAGTCGGTTGCAAGCGCCTGAATTTTGATCATGTGGCCACGGGGATGATGAAACAGTCATAAGCATGAAAGACAGTCATAAATCACTTTTCTCAGTGCTGTTATACCTTTGAACCGTCACTAAAGGAATAGTTAAAAGTAGAGGACTCTCTGAGCATGCAAAAACTAACTTTTTTTCTGTCAGATGGAGCTGAAGCTTCCATCCTTTGTCTTTCTGGGATGACAGATGAAGAGAAGAGTGGATGGTTTAGATGTTGACCTCTCTCTAATCCCACCCCATCTGGGGATGGTCATGGAGGTTGGGGTGTCCAAGCATTCTTAGATGGCATCAAGTGAGAGTAGATTAGTTTACCTTCAGGACAGAAGACTTACTTTGTGCAGGGTATCCTGAGGTCAGATGCTGGCAATCCTACAAATGGAAACAAAGAAATGTCAACATTGTTCAGGTTACGAAAGAGGAAGTTATCCAGAGAACCTGTTAGATTAACTGCAGAATGGATACATTAGCAAAGAAGTTAACCCATTACAAGGTTAACAATACAACCTAACAGAATCTCACTTCTGGGTGAATATTCAGTCATTTATCCATATCTTCGTATTACCAAGATCTGTGTCCTTGCTATTCAATGAGTCAGTCTTACTCACTAAGGGATATCTGCTCTTCAGAATGTCTCCTGCTTTTTCTGCAGGTATGAAGGATCAAACTTGAAAGCTCCAGCATCCAAATAAATAAATCCACCAAAGACATATTAGGGTTCATGTCTACTGAAGCAAATATAGTGTGTCCCATATTTGCCATAAGAGGGACATGTATTGATGGCTGCTTACCAGTCTGATGCTTAAACCAGTGATGGCCCTGAGTGGAATCTGTGCTTCTGATGGAAGGAGGGCAGGAAGAGAGGAACAGGGGAAGGAAAAGAAGGAAGGAGGGAGGGAAGGAAGGAGGAAAAGAAGGAAGGAAGGAAGGAAGGAGGGAAGGAAGGAAGGAGGGAAGGAAGGAATTCAGTGGAATTAATAGATGGAATAATCTGGTAGAATAGGTAGAATGTCCTCCAGGAGACACATTCCTACAAATAACCTGACTCCATTTCATGAAGGGCTTCCAAGATGAGAACCAGCATCTTCAACTGCACCTGGACAGAAACTGGAAACCGGTGCAGCCTGTACAGCAATGGGGTAACACAGGTACATGGGGAAATAAGGGAGCACCCAAAATTGCACAGGTGCTTCATTCTGGACCACAACATAACAGTCTTCAGAGGTAGTCCCATGAGCTGCATGTCTCAACATCAATCAATCAAGTATCATTAGATAGTCTGGGACTGCAAAACATCACCAATCGCCTTGTTTGTTCCGAGAGAATTCTGGGGGCTGTTTTCCTGAGTTCATATCTCTGAACAAATATATGTACTTGCAAGTCTGCTCTTAAACCTACCTGGGCCTTGCTCGGGATAGTAAATTTGTTCTGTTCCGCTTTCCCGGGAGTGTGGATAGCAGTGAGAGGTGGAGGCCATGAATGGGTCATCTCCTAGCAATGAAGCAAACAAAACACAGGAGTATATTTTCAAGTCAAGACCAAGCTATGTTCTTTTCCTTTGCTTTTCCTTTGAAGCACTCCCAAAGTCACACTGGAGGGAGGAGGGGAAACTCACCTGCCGGGGTGAAGTCATACAATTGTTTGGGTTTGGTGCCGCAACTTGTGTGAACACAGCTACTGTGATTTGTAAATTAGGCTTCGGGTATGAAAGTGAAAAACGCACCCAACCAATGATGGCTTCTTTAACACAAGGGAGTTTAAAACAGAGCAGAGTATGATGTGTGAAATCAGTCTCTGCAGAAATGGATTGCATTTTTCAGCTCGCCTGCTTCTGTGTATTTTTTTTTAAAACGAAAGATGGGGACGTTTGATTTTAGTTTCTTGGTGTATTTCTTTGTTTATTTGCAGGGCTTACAGGCTGCTTCCATCCACCAGCTCTGAGCGACATGTAACTCTCCAAGATGTAATTGGGAGTAAACCGGTGCAATCAATTTTTAAGAAGGTGGCAACAGTTATGTCAATAACTCAGTCAAACTAAAGTAACTATTTGCTTTAAAAGCGCCTATCTGGAAAGGGAAGAAAGGGCTTCATCTCAAAGAAGGTATTGGATGTCCAATACCTTCTCACACCATCATGGATCGTGAGTATAGATTGCTTCAGTCCTGTCTTTCAGCGGATTGTTCAGACAGAATGACCTTTGATCCAATCATTACATAACCTATGGATGCCAGGATGATGGCGAATATATTCCTCCCTTACTCCAAGACCACCTAACAGAGGGTCTGCCTTAATTTATCCCCACAACAGTAGAGTTCTGACCAGTTTTGGAGAACTGATAGTGGAAATTTTGAGTAGTTCAGAGACCCAACAAATCCCACCCCTGACTGGCCCTGCCAACTCCATCTCTTCTCTGCCTCCCAAGTCCCAGCTGATCAGCTGGGTCTTCTTTGATTGCCCTGCCTAGGAGAACGGAGCTGGAAAGCAGGTTAGTGGGTGGGGAAGGAATGGGGATTTTGTAATATCCTTCCCCTGATACGCCCACCAACCGCACCCACCAAGCCACACCACATCCACCAAGCCACACCCACAGAACCTATAGTAAAAAAAATTGAAATCTACCACTGCACAAGCAACTCTGTGAGGGTGGGCATATAGACTAGGGAAGAAGTCCTTGACAGAGATGGATGAGATAATACCAAAGCATTAAGAGGAAAAATGTATTCAGTCATCCAGGTCATAATTATCTCAAAGGTGCTATTTTTCTTCTTTTGGACAACTCGAAGAGCTGTTGAGGCCACTTGGGGGTTTATCTGTGTCCTCAGGGTCACCTGAATCAGGGTGCAATTGATTGTAGAATCTTCTTGGAACTTCTGGAAGGGCTGTGTTGGAAACTGGAGATGGGTAGTATCTTATTCTATCTCCAGTCTACAACACAGTCCTTGCAGTTCCAAGAAGATCCCACAACCAATTGCACCCTTCAACTTCAGGTGACCCTGAGGGCACAGGTAAACCCCCAACAGCTCTCAGAGGGAGTGCTAATGACCAAATGACTGCAAAGAAATACAATCCTTCCATCCCTCCACCATTCTGTCAGAACCTCTCCTTTCGTCTCCTCACCATCCAATCTCAACTGTCAACACCTATCCTTCTGTCCCAGTCCCTACACTCCATCGGAACCGATGAAGCTTCTTGGATGAGAAGTGAAACATTTTCTTTTCCTTCCTCAATGGAAAAACAACAACAACCCAGAATACATTTCATTCTGGAAGAGTTGACTTCTCTAGCTCTGAAAGAAAATATCTTTGGCTTCTGCAACCAGAAGCATGGAAGAATGGTTGCAGAAGTTGACGGAGTTGGTGGAAATGGCAGAACCGACAACGTTGATTAAAGAAAAGGACATAAGTACTTTTTGTTTCCACATGGAAACCGTTTCTATACTTTGTGCTTGATGTGGAAAAGAATGGGACTTCGACTTTGGGTTTTATAGATTAGATGGATAGATCTTTACAGAAATGACTGGTTCGTACTATTATGGAAAAGCAACAAGCTGTGATTTGATGTTAATGCCTTATTTTAATGTAACAGAGAGTTGAAAGTCAATGTTTTGTTTCTTTTTTTCTTATCTTTCCTCACTTCTCTTCCCTCTTGCCCCCTCACTGTTCTTCTATTTACTTTTGTATTTTGTATTTTATAACACTCTATAACCTAATAAACATTTTGATTTGCAGAAAAAGTATCTTTGGCTTCCCTAAAGGAGAGAAGGAAAACTACCTAAAAAGTGCCTGTTTTTGGAAATATTCCTGAAAGCGTTTAGTTCTACTTTATGCACTAAGCCTCCCAAACCAAATATTGCCTCTTTCCAAATGTGCAGCCAAACTCCTAAAAAAAAAAAAAAATTAAACTCAACTCCCCTCAGCCATAGCAGATTAGCAGTCCATTTAGCATACGGGAGGATTCAAAATGGAATTCTCCATTTTCTCGTTGCATTCTAACGGATATCACCTAATCCGTGATTCCTTTTCATTAAAATGGGACACTAAATTATTACAAAATCATTAAATGGATGCACAGGGCTGTGTTATGGCTGAGGGAGCCATTAGATCTGGCTAAGTTTCCCCAAATTGCTTGGCGCAAAGAAGAATACGCAGGATTATTCTCCATTCTGTGAGAGGCAGTTGCTCTATCAATTCTGTTAGGTTGGGGGGAGGGGGAATAGAGCCACCTCCGTCTTCTCTGCGAAATGGAACTATTTTTCTAATTTGCTTCTGGTGAGTATCCACAGTAAGCAGAAAGATAAGAGATGTACCTCCTCATAAACGAATTGATAAATCATCATGCATTCTTCAAACAGGGCAGTAGCCACATCAATCTTCCAAAGAGGTAACCTTTTACAAGGGTCTTAAATGAAGGGTAGAGAATCATCTTGGTTGAAAAGTGTTTTTAGGTTTGCAAGTTTCTATAGTGAAAAGTAAGAAGGGTGGAGCAGTTTTTTGTTTTTTCAAAATCGATCATTCAAAGATGATTGATATAGTTCCATGTCTCACCCTATGATAGTAGAATAGAATAGAATAGAATAGAATAGAATAGAATAGAATAAGAAGCAGGGAATAGAATAGAGTAGAGTAGAGTAGAGTAGAGTAGAGTAGAATAGAATAGAATAGAATAGAATAGAATAAGAGGAAATAGAATAAGGAATGAATAGGATAGGATAGGATAGGATACGATAGGATAGGATAGGACAGGACAGCACAGAACAGAATAGAATTGAATAGGAGGAAATAGAATAAATGAATAGAATAGAATAGAAGAAATAGAATGAATGAATGAATGAGTAGAATAGAATGAAATATTTGGGATAATGGAAAAATGTTGTTCCCTCAGGAGGAATTGATATTCTTCTTCTATGTCTCTTGATTTAATGTGAGGGTTTGTTTTAAAATTGTATTTATAATAAATAAAATAAAAACAGTCATGATATTAAGAGTTTCAGTGTAGGGAATTGTAGAAATCTGGTCTAAAAGTTTAGAATTGCTTTCTAATCAGAGGTGGAAATGTTTCCTCTTTGCTTTCTCTTCTCAGAAAGTGAAATATTATTTTTGGTTGAAACTTTTTTCCTTATGTTTTCCTGTGGTTTGAAACATACCTCTTTGTTGTTCTTGGAAATCACTCTAAGCAGCCCGAAAAGCAGTGTTGCATGAATAAAATTCATCTTTCCAAATTCACATTTAAAAAAAAAACACATACACCTAAAGATGAAATATTTTCTCCCTCTAGTCAAGTTCCTTTTACATACACCTGCTGGAACAACTTAATTGTGAGATATGTTATTTACACTAAGTCTAGCCTTATGCTATTCAAACGAATGGTTGCTTTGACTTTTGAGTTTTGCCAACAGGTTTTCGAGAGAAGGCAATGCAAGAATTTGAAGCAGTGGGGAAATAGCAGAGTTATTCTTAAAATTAATACTGGCAAAGAGCTAAAAAAAATGTCCTAAACTGTTCTATTAAAAAAATCAAGACTTGATTGATCCCTAATTTTGACCGAGGTTGCAAATCCTGTTGTGAAGATTCCTGAATACAAACTTCTGCGGTCACCAATTCCCTGAACTTTGACAGGATAACAGAGTTGGAAGGGACCATGGAGGTCTTCTAGTCCAACCCTCCCATTTCAGACAAACAGGTGTCCAATTTCTTCTTGAAAGTTGTTGGAGAATTCACAACTTCTGGAGGCAGCTCATTCTAATGATGAATTGTTCTCACTGTTAGGAAATTCCTCCTTAGTTCTAGCTTGCTTCTCTCCTTGAATAGTTTCCATCTGTTGCTTCTTCTCCTGCCTTCATGTGCTTTGGAGAATCTTCTACTTTAGACATGTCTTCTGTGTCTTGGGATGACTGCCCAAATATTCTCCACCTAGCCTCTATCTTTCCAGATTTCACTCCTTGCAAAATGTCTTTTTGTGCCTTGGTCTAGACTTCTTAGAGGAAGTCTTACCCCAAAGTTGGTTTTGGCAGAACAAAGAGCAGTTAATTTATACCTCCTCTTGCCAAGATATTGTCAACCAACTATCAATGATCCCAAATGAATAGAAATGTAGGTTGCTGCCCTTCTTTTGTGGTTTAGGTTGGAAAACTACAATACAAAGGATATAGAGCTTTGGTTAAAAAAATAAATAGAACAAACCCATTATCAGGGGGAAGAGAAAGCAGACAGTCTAGGTTATAATCAAAGACTTTCTGACCATGAATGAATTCCCGTGGCAAAGTGTCTGGATGAAAAGGAGTTTGACAACTAAATAAGGAACTCGATTTCCTGTTTCCTGGTACATTATCTAAACAACAAAATAAAATGATAGAATGAAAGTTATCACTGACATTGGGCCAATCCTAGAAACTGAATGTACGACTAATAGAATAACAGAATAACAGAGTTGGAAGAAACTTTGGAGGTCTTCTAGTCCAACCCCCTGCTTGGGCAGGAGACCCTGCACCACTTCAGACAAAATGGTTATTCAATTTCTTCTTAAAAACTTCCAGTGTTGGAACATTCACAACTTCAGGAGGCAAGGAGTTCCACTGATTAATTGTTCTCACTGTCAGGAAATTTCTCCTTAGTTCTAGGTTGGTTCTCTCCTTGATTAGTTTCCATCTATTGCTTCTTGTCCTACCTTCAGGTGGCCTGGAGGATACATTGATCCCCCTACTCTTTGTGGCAGCCCCTTAGATATACAACACAAAACCCAAACCAGCATTGCAAAGATCCCTGATTCGGCCTGCTGCTAAGATCACTGTTGATTGATGTACTCTCTGTTGAAAAGTGCTCAGTGTGCCTCCTTCTTCAGACAGCAAAAGGCCTAGGTTGCTAAGTTACTGGCATTTGACATCATATCCTTCCCAAGGTGTTCCCATATTTGACAGACTCTTTGATTTACTATGCTGGCCAGCTTGCTATTCATTTGTGCAATGACGTCTGAAAAAAAAACCCATTTGAAATTCAGATTGTACCCTTCTCCCTCTCCCCTCACCCAACCCTCCCCAAACTCTTCCCAGCAAAAGTGGCACGTGCGTATTTTGAAACTCTCTGTGGATGTTGGATGCATCTGCACCCAGATGAAAAGAAACAATTAAAGGGGTTTCCGGGAGGGTGAGGGACACGGGGACAAGTCTATTAGCAGGCTAATTTTGCTTTGTGAACAAGTCATCTCAACCAGGGCTACTGCGTATTAAGTCGATTAGCGCCTTTCAAATTGTACAGGAAAGGTAATATTGCATATAATTTTCTCAGTCAAGGGCATTTTCACCTGCTGATCAATTTACATATTCTCCAATGTCATTAGATTGAAGCTAGTCATCAGGAGGGGTGAAGAGAGAATAAATTACAGAGTTTTGTTCATTTAATTCTTGTCATTTTATTCTAATTATAAGCAGCCTGTGTTTTGCTTGGGAGTGTGCAGCTTTTATTTAATACTGCACCTGTCCAACTATTTGTCTGGAAGGATGGCATGCTTGTTTTTCCTAACTAGAAGAACATTGTTCTTGGAATTGGCATCTATTGAGATCTTACGTATTAGAGCTGTCATGCTCTACCCTAAATTTGGAGTTTTCTTCCCCCCGGGGAGAGAAGCTTTACTGATCAGTCTCTTCTCCAATCTGACATCGCATAGATCTGTTTCAACCCACTGATTTCCCAACCAACCTGAAGAAGAAGTGCTGACGTGACTTTTGTGAACAGGCAATCATTGACCAGATTAGTCTATTAGTCTAAAACTGTGCATACAAAGCTTGAACTCACAAAGATCAGGTTTAAGCTCTTGGGGAAATCTTGAGTATAGACGAAGAATTCCTGCTTAAAACAAGTGTTGGGTCCTAGTTGGGTCTTCCTTGAGGACATAATGGCAACTTCTAAAGGAGAAGGACTGCTTGCTGTTCCTCACGTGGTGAACCCCAACAGCATTTTATCATATGAAGAAGCCACACAGACTTGCAACATTGAACATTCAACCAAGTTAATGATCCAAAGAGATTTATCTTTGGCAGAAATCTCTGTATGAAACACTGTATGGCCTTGAGAAAGGAATATGCAAGAACCTATGGATAAGATTAATCCGATTGATACAACTTTATTGTAATACAACGGATACATTCTAGGATGGAAAGCTACATCAAATATGGGATAATTTTGATCTACCAACAAGGACCTCCTTCAGAATTCTCTGCATACTTTCTGGGCCCCTTCTTTTCGACCTCCATTTTAGTTTGATGTTATTCAGTTGAAGTGGCTTTTGAATGAGGAATATAAGTCGTAACCCTTAATATTTTTGTGTTGCGGTGCTGCAAATGCCTAGTTTCACCCAACTTCTTGATATTTCTCTAGGAGTTATGAATGTTACTATTTTGGCTGTTGAAAATTTACCTTTTAAAGCATGATTTTGCTCTACCAATGGATGGAATTGATTCTGTTATTCAGTGCTTCCACAGAGTTCAATACACACCCTTATTCCAACTGAAATAAGATACTCAGCTTGAAATAACTTCATAAGTCTGTTAGATAAATAGAGATTTGACTATAGAGTGTATATCATTACAGTTCTAAGCTAAATGCTACTTAACCTACTATGGAGATTCTATTATTGACAAAAAAGAATTCAACTTACCCGTAATATCTCCTCCACACAGTTGGAGTCATTGGGAAGGCTAACCTAAAGGGAGAAGGATACAGGTTGTCAGTCTAAAAAGGATTTTTTCTGGCTGGAGTACTAATAAAAGATAGCTAATATCAACAGGTTGCATGGCACCTTTTAAAATGGTAAAACAACAATCATTACTTTCCACTGTATGATCCCCAAGGAAAGATCAGCATCCCTTAAGTTTTTAATTAATTAGTTGTACTTAGAGACAGCTTCATCTGTATGATTGCTCAGGTATACATCAACAAATAAATCCCAAATGAAAATCTGCATGACTAAAGAATCCATGCTGCTGTTAATTCCTGGGGAGAAAATGGCATTGAGGAGACGATTGAATTGTTAAGTTAGTTGCAATCTGAATAATATTTCTGTTTGTGTGGTGGAATGTAGTCTGGATTCCCAGAAGAGAGGGGCTACATCCCCGAGGGTAGAGGCAGCAGAGCTTGGAAAAATTGGTCAGCAGGGTAGAGGGTTAAAATGGTTCCTAGCTTATCTCAGAATATATACACAGATATGCAAACAGTTGCTTTAAACTGGCAAGATTCTGTCTATAGGTGAAGGGCAATAAAGGAAACTACTCATAAGTAACTACACATGTCGTTCTTGGGTCTTGAGGGCCGATAGTTTGCTAATATAACATATAAACAGTTTTTAATAGTAGTACAGAAGAATTTAAGTTACAGAGAAATTAACAGGCTCTTGAATAGCTTCAAATTTGCTCCAGTTGACGAGTTAGTAATAGCATATAGATCACCCACTCCTTCTAGGAACCCCAAAGCAGTTTATGTGACCCAGAAAACTTACTCCAAGCTCTATTTAAGAAAGAAAGAACTGTCTTTGGAACATAAGTCTGAAATCCATCGACCTTTGTGCCAAATATAGCTAAAGCCATACCTGTGGGAGCTTTAAAGATTTATTTTTAAAAAATAAATTGGGTGAAGAATCTTCTTTCAGTCTCTCTCTCTCTCTCTCTCTCTCTCTCTTTTTTTGCCAAGGATTTACTACAATTGGAAAAAAACTGGGGCAGAATTTAGCACAATTTGCAAATTTGGGACAGTAAGAACTTCAGGCTTTGTGAAACTGGGGGAGACTGAATCCAATACGAGAGTCCATAGAAGTTGAAGGCCTTGGGCAATTTGGTAGTAAAAAGTATGTTTCTGAAACATGGACACCGAGACAGATTTACGATGGGACACTTCTTCTTTTCACCGATAAACTCTTGTTTAGACTCGGAATAGACAGACCTATTAAATTTGGCCAATTTCGGCAGATGGAAATTTTAATAGGACCCCTTAAAACCATTTTAACTTTGCTTGTCAAAAGTTGCTGGCATTTCTGTTCACAGCTGAGATTTCTGATCTTCCAAGGTTTGGAACCCTTTAGATCTGTGGTGCTTTCACCTCAGACTCCTTAATTGCTCACCAAACAGCAAAAGAAGACCAACATGGTTTCTGACATAATGATACCTCCAGTTGATTTTGAAATCGCAGCAATGAAAGGATAACTCTGACAGTGGGCAGTCCAAGCACAAACGAAAGCTTTAAATGACAGCAGAATGGGAAATTAAAGCAGGCGCACGCTTTCATTTCAGACTGACAGACAGACAGCCTCACAAGCACGCAGGCATAGACAACAAAGCAAAACAAGAAACACCCGTCCTCTGAAATTCCACCACAGAAGACACAAACTGCTCAGTTTCTTATTAATGAGGCGTTCTGCTGAGCTCGTTGTGTTCATAAATCCCTAATGAGGATTTTAAACACATTAAAACTTCTTAATGCAAAGTGTTTGCTTTTTGTTTTCATCCAATAACAAGCCAATAATTCGATGCCTCTAAATGACACTATTAACTGTCAGGGTATGCTTTATTTGACAACCACTTCATTCAAACACAGTTTAAAAAAAAAACCAATTAATTTGACTGTTGTGAAATCTTTCTTGATAGCTTTCACGGGGGTTTCTTTTGTCGCAGAAATGCCTACCGTAGGTCAACGAAGGGGAGGGGTGTCTCGTTTTACTTTACAATTCATAGCAATAAAATCTAAGCCTTTTCATCATGTGCTACTGAAATAATATACCCCACCCACATTAGAAAGACTTTATTTCAACCAGGATGATTAGGGGACCAGAGACTAAACCATAAGAAGAACGGTTACAGGAACTGGGCCTGGCTAGTCTAGGGAAGAGAAGGACCAGGGGAGATAGGAGAGCAGTCTTCCAGTATTTGAGGGGCTGCCACAGAGACAAAACTATTTTCCAAAGCACCTGAAAGCCAGACAAGAAAGAATGGATGGAAACTGAACAAGGAGAGAGATTCAATCTGGAAATAAGGAGACACTTTCTGACAGTGAGAGCAATCAACCCATGGTAGAGATGTTGCCTTTGGAAGTTGTGGGAGCTTCATCCCTGGAGGCTTTCAAGAAAAGGCTAGACTGCCATTTGTCAGAAATGGTGTAAGGTCTCCTGCTTGGGCAGGGAGTTGGACTAGATGACCTACAAGGTCCCTTCCAACTCTGATTATCTGTTATTTATTAGAACTCTTGAAAATGGATAGCCATTGATTCAGCTTGGATTTACAAAGAAAGACAAGATACCTTTCCTTTTTTTATTTGAATGGGTTGTCCATTATGAAATGGCAATCTGAGAGATTAAAAATCCAATATAAGAGTGTCAGTATTAACACAATATTCAAGATCCTTTCAAAATGGCTACTTGGGTGTTTCTTAAAACAACAGCCAACAAATGAGAAAGTGGCCTAGTCAGAGAGAAATGTAGACTACGACTTAATCGTATTTAATTTCCACATCCTCACCTCTTCATTGTTTACAAAAAGATGGACTTGTTTTCTTGGACATAAAGAGGGAGGAGAATGCAGGAAGAATTTGTGCTGATTCCTTTTTCCATACCTCAAAATGTTGCTAATATTCCCAAAAAGCACTAAAGAACACTGAGCGCTCCAAAAGAAAAAAGAAAAAAAATATGCATAATTGATCCATGCAAGTCCTACATCGAAATCAAGCAAGATTACCTCCTCTTCTGGCACCTTTAGAGGAGGAAATGTTTGATTGCTCTGTTAACCATTTTTCTGAGACATATGAATATTCACTTTGGAGCAGAAATGGATGTGGAAAATTACATTAGTTTGTAGCATGATTTATTTTGTGTGTGTGTGTGTGTGTGTGATCATTCCTTAACAAATAAATATTTCTTCTTCTTCTTCTTCTTCTTCTTCTTCTTCTTCTTCTTCTTCTTCTTCTTCTTCTTCTTCTTCTTCTTCTTCTTCCTCCTCCTCCTCCTCCTCCTCCTCCTCCTCCTCCTCCTCTTTTCTTCTTCCTCCTCTTCTTCTTCCTCCTCCTCCAGCTCCTCCTTCCACTTCCTCCTCCTCTTCTCCTT